CCCCTCCCCCCCCCGGAGAGGTCTCAAAAAAAGTTTTGTTGGGTAGGTGTTGGAATTTTTTTTTGTGCGCCCTTGCTAGGAAACCGATCAAAAGAAAACAACACAAAAATAAAGGCAAAAATAAAAGGGAAAAAGGAGCGCTTCCCACACCCGCCTAAAGAATCAAAGGGTACCGTACCAGCATCAGGCACTACGCACCAGGGCATGGGAGTAATGGAGGCAACAGAACAAAGAGGCGGCAGATGGGCGGGCAGCCATCTATATAAAAGCAAAAGCTACGGCAAAAGGGAGCTCAAGGTACCCGACAAGGCAGAGTAGACCTTTCTGTTCTAACTCCGGTTAAGACACACCCTCAGCAGTACAGCAGCGAAACAGCAAAGGATCTTACAAATTGCACCCGCACTCAAAAGAAGTTGGCATTTAAGAACTTCATCTCAACATACGAACTAAGAACTTGGGCACCGTTTGTGAGCCCGGTCAAGAACCCCTTACACTAAAAACCTATGCATGGGCCATTTTGTGGCTCACCTCCCATTCATGGTGGTCCAACAAAGTAATGTAAATTATTTCGCGCGAGAAAAGAAGTGCCGGAGAGAGAGAGAAGTATGCGTAGATGGATAGATGTGGATGGAGCCTAAGCCATCACACGGAGGCCGCCACTGCCACTGCACACACCCAAAACCACCAGTCAGACGTGTATGCAGGACTTCTGCTCTGTAGCAGCGCGGGGACGAGTGAGAGTGTTGTTTGGTGTGGACGGAAGCTCTCATCTGCTTGCTGCTGCTGCTGTGTGGACATGCACTACTTGCTTCCCTCGCTTACGCTGCTAGCAGCAGGCAACGGGCCCTAAGGACCGCTCCCGATTCCTCCTATGATGTGGCTATCTGGTCGCCCGTGGGCTGCGTGTGCACTTATCATGTCTCTCTCGTCTGTGGTGGATCAAAACGTCGGCCTGCAGACTCTCGAAGAAAGACCGCAGATTGAGTGACTACTGTGTGCCTTGCTTCCCTCGCTTATTCGCTGCTAGCAGCACGCAACTGGCTTCAAAAACCGCTCTCGACGCCTCGTACAATGTGCTCCTTTGGTCGCCCTTGGCCTGCAGCGGTGTGTACGTCTCGTTGTCTCTGTTTTTGGGGTGGGTGCATCTGTGTGGGAAGCTCACACGATCGGCCTGCAGATAAATAACAGACAACAGATTGACCTGTCTGCGTCGCCTCCCTCGATTGTTGTGCTGCCGACAGCAGGCATCGGGCTCTTGACAGTCGCACCCGACGCCTCCTATGATGTGTGCCTTTGGCTGCCCTTGGTCCGCAGTAGTCTCGTGTACTGCCGCGCTGGTTGTCTCGTGTGTTGTCCACGTGTGCCATGTGCTGCTGCTGCTGTGCTGCGTCTTTCGGGGGGTTCCCCCTCGGCGGCGTGACCATCAGCCAATCAGCTATCTCTGTCCTACATATTGTCTTCATAATCGACATGTGATTAGTGGGAGGACGGGTATCTACCCGGCTCTACCCCTCTAAAACATAGATGTTTTTTTTTGTTCTTCCGGTCCAACATGAAAATTGTCCCACGTATTCGTCCGGTTTGCAGCCTAACCCATCAGGGACTAAGAACCCCCGCCTCAGCAACTAGAGATTTTGTGCGGGCGCTATCTGTAGCACCTACACCTGCGTGATTGCATTAATCCATGTGGCAGCTGGCAGGCTTTCTGTGAACCGTGTACAGCTTCTCGGTGAATCTACCACACAACTTGCGTTCGTGTGCAGCGTGCTGGCTGGCTTCTCTCCCTGATGTGATGGTTTTCGTTTTTCGAAGTTGTGCTGTTTTAGGCGTTGGGAGCCGGTTTTTATTTGCGCGGTATCTGGTTTGTTGTTGAAAGTGCGGCCTCTCTGTCCTTACATGGGCCCTCTGCCATGACTGCCATGCGCACCTGGGCGTAGGAGAACGCGCCGACGCAGCTGTACGGTTCTCTTTCTGGGCTTCTTCTCCACGCACTTTGCCCTGGAACACATGCATGCACACATCAACCAACTCTTCTTCATTAAGAAACAAATAGTCGCTAGCCGAGACGGCAAAAACAATATCCTGTCGTGGCTCTCGCTCATATGTCCTCTTTGGTTATTCACACATGAATCACATCGTTCGTCGGATGGTTGGCGCGCCGTGCCACCGTAGAAGGCGTCCCGCGTGTTTGGAATATAGTAGGTAGGGATGTTCGAACGTACTGAGCATACATGGGACATTTTTCATGTGATCACACGATCACCACCACCACCACCACCAACAACAACAACAACATGTGTTGTTCATATCATCGCCCCGCGTGTCTGCGAAGGTACGTCTCGAAGTCTCTGCGAGAAGGAGAAAACTTCCGGCAGGCGAACCTCCCCCGCAGAATACCCGACGACAAACAGCCAACCAGGTACCGACTGGCGCGCCCCGGAGAAAAGGTGAGTTTGTTTTTTGCACGCAAACACCCACCACTGGCATGTGCTCTCGAGATATCGAAAAAACATGGCTTCGTTGGAGAGGACAGCAGGCCGCCAAGAGAATGCTATCACAATAATAGGCGAAAGCGCGCGGGGGGGGTCGGCGGAGAGGGGGGCGGGGGGCGGGGGGGGGAAAGCAGGGGTTGTGTTCATGCAAAAGTACGAACCTCGAGGTACCAAAGAAGAAAACGTAGCTCGAAGAAGACCCGTGTACGTTTTTGGGCAAAGTTTCTCAATCCCATCTTCATGGGGCTATTTTGAGTTGGTGTCACGGAGTCACGAATGGTCAACATTCAAGTCCTTGTACCCGCGAGTCTTCGGCGGCGGGGACATCATGCACAATTTTTTGGTGGATGTCGTTGTCGGCGATCCGCTCCGTTCCCAGAACTTTTTATGGTGGCGTTCGCTGGCTACTTGTGAATATTCGAAATCTTTCAGACGTGTTTAATTTTTTTTTTAAGTTTGGTGCTCGCGTGTGTCGTTGCTATTTTCCCGTCGGAGATCGTACCCCCACGTGTTCCCACCCTCCCCGTCCCCGTCCCCCGTCCGCATGGACCGATACATCTGTCGGTGTGTCCATCGACATGTTGTGTTTTTTTTTTGCGCCATCCTGCGTAAGTTGCCGCACGGCGAAGAGCCTCCCTTGTACGGCGTGTGGGACTCGAGCTACAAGGCGATGGACGAGTTCGGCATTGGCGTCGGGTTGTACTACAGGCAGCTGCTGCTCTTCGGCATTGTGAGAGACCGCCCACTCATCTAGCCCTTTTTTCTGTTGCTGATTTTTTGCGCCACACGTTGGCGTTGATGCACGTGCGACGTATGCCTGATGCCGATGGCCTCGTCTGTCGGTTGTGTGCCCCGTGGCAGCGTCGTCTTGAAGGACCGGGGTTGTTCGTTCATACAGGCGCAGAGTCTCGCGAGTTATTGGTACAATTCCTAGAGTATCGAGATTGACTGCTGTGTCTCTGAAACCACACGATTGGTCGACATGTACCTGGACAGATCAGCCTGTACGCCAGTGCATCTCGGAGTAGTGCGCAGGGCTCACAGCATGGTGCAACACAACAGAAAGTTTTGCATTGTGGAGCACGTGTCATAATGATGAGACGCC